GCAGTATTCCAGGTGGGGTTTCACGACAGCAGAGCAGAGGGGCAGAATCCCCTCCCTCGCCCTGCTGCCCACGCTGCTCTGGATGCAGCCCAGGATACGGTTGGCTTTCTGGGCTGCCAATGCACATTGCCGGCTCATGTTGAGCTTCTCATCCACCAGCACTCCCAAGTCCTTCTCCTCAGGGCTGCTCTCAATCCGTTCTCCACCCAGCCTGTACTTGTACATGGGATTGCTCCAACCCACGTGCAGGACCTTGCACTTGGCCTTGTTGAACTTCATTAGGTTCTCACAGGCCCACCTCTCCAGCCTGTCCAGGTCCCTCTGGATGGCATCCCTTCCCTCCAGCGTGTCCACAACACCACACAGCTTGGTGTCATCTGCAAACTTGCTGAGGGTGCAAGATGACCACTGTATGACTGCTGCATCTTCCCATTGCACCTGTAGCCTCCTGTATACTAAACGAAAAATACCATGTGTAGAAAGTGTAAGCCTGTCCGTTATTTCAGTCTACACGCACACTTTTCAGTCTGGAGTAACGAATGATGCTTTTTGTTATCATCCAGGGAACAGCAGGTCCGTTGAAATGTTCAGAGTCATATTAGTAACTAGGCACTACCTAAAAAACCCACTCTGCCTCCAGCTGTGCCTTTTGCAGTGTCAGATAACTGATGGTTCCCAACAAGGACATGCCCTTAAAACTACAGAAGATTAGAAATGGATCAATAGACGCACCCAAATTGAAACACTTGTATAATAATAGGTGCAAAATTTCTTTTACAAAATCACAGCCATCAATAAAATAATTGTCTTAATTCCATTTTTCTCCGAAACCTCCATTACTGTAACAAATAATAGCTAACCTATAGGTTCTCAAAAACGATATAATCTGAAGAAAAAAACAAAGACTAAAAAAAATAAAAAAATTAGGACCCCAAGACTGAAGATTGATTTTTGAATTCGTAAATGACCCGAAAATCACATTTTCGGGGAAGCCACTGTATATGTTCTTAAGCATTGTCTCAGTTCCAAAGCACTTGCTGAGAAAAAATTACACATTAGCAGAGACTCACATCCTTAGACAGCTGTAAAGCAGTTACGTTTAGCTAAGAAATTGCTTCGTTCTGAGGAGGCTCAATAATATCAACAGCCTAACCTGGTCAAAAGCAGAAACTTTGAATTGTAAAATCCTATCATGGACACTGGCCAACACCAGAGGGAGTTTTGAAGTGATGGGTGCAGAAGGAGGCA